CTTCTAGTGGCATAATACCAGTGATGATGATAGAAGCTACAAAGATGGAAGAACGACTAGAAGATGGTCAAAGCCATCGACAATCTCAAAAACTTCAATGCTGAGAAAGACCTCTAGATTGCCTTCTTGATGAACAAACTAGAGATAGAAAACCACCAATCAGAGTCTAATCAAAGACCTTCACACCCTCTAGGATTCACTCATTCAGTGACTTCCAACCTCCAAGAGTAGTAGGAGTAGCAACAAGATGAACATGGTCGTGTCATTGTGCAGAATATGATGCAAGACACCACCAAAGTCTCTGGCACTTCTCTGATAGTGCAACAACTCCAATACATGATCGCTGACACCATAAGGGCTCAGTATGGAGGAGTTCCACAAACCTCTCTAGTGTATGCCAAACCATACACTCGTTGCATTGATGAGATGCGCATGTCAATCGGTTAGCAACCACCTAAGTTCCAGCAATTTGACAGGAAGGGAAATCCAAAGTAACACATAGCCCACTTCATGGAGACTTGAAACAATGTGGGAACCTACAACGACCAAATGGTGAAGTAGTTTGTTCACTCCCTCAAGTCTACAGTGTTTGATTGGTTCATCGACTTCTAGCCAGACTCCATTGATAGTTGGGACCAGCTTGAGAGGGAATTCCACACTCGCTTCTACTGTACACAATGAATGGTTAGACTTCCAGAACTCTCCACTACAAGGCAAAGAAATGATGGATTCATTATTGACTACATTGAATGGTGGAGAAACCTTTCCCTTTAGTGCAAGGAATAAATCAATCAACCCTTTTCCATAAACACATGCATCCAAATGATGCATTGGGGGCTACTCTACAACCTCAAAGGGAACATCCCTACCACCTTCAAAGAATTAGCTACTCAATCTCATAACCTAGAGATCCAGATAGACAAGCATGGGAATGGTCGATGAAGCCCACGAGCACGAAGCTTGTGAGCTCACAAGCACGGAGTCAAGAAATTGCATCAAGTATGTTCCATTCACATTAACACCCTTTAACCCAATTTGATGATGCACATATACAGGCTAGCAATTGGAAAATGTTAATCTCTTGTTTCTTAAGTAATTAATTATATCAAACATTCCTTGTAGATTAGATCGTTGAAGGATGCAGAGAAAGCTATTACTATAGTGATCGACTGTATTATTGTACAGGGAGTAGAAGAATGAGGACATATCATTGTCATAGTAATGCTCTTAGGATATGAGCTCTAATTTATTCCTACAACTATTTTTATCCTACAACCCAGAGCATTACAAGGAGAGGAGTAAGACTCCGTCCTCAACTCCTACAACCCAGAGTAGGAGTTGTATGATGGAGAGGAGTAAGACACCGTCCTCAACCCAGAGTAAGCTTTTATCATCATCTAGGAGAAAATGCTTCTTTCCTTTCAAATCAGAGTGCGAAGGGTTGAAGAGGTTGTGCTTTTGTAGAGTAGACGCCTTAGTGATTTTAAGTGTTAGAAGCCATTTTTCCATGGCACGTGTGACAGGACGGTTGTAGGAAGAACCAAAAGCACCAGAGGACTTATGGAAGGAAGTTGCAGCCTTCTTTGTAGCCATTGGATGACTATTGTAGTTGTCGACTCGAAAGCATGGTTTAAAGTATCGATACAATATGCCCTGTGTTGGGGGTATTGTATCATATCTATTGAAAAAGATATGCTCCGAAACACCTGTTTCTAGGTGTTTTGGAACCCCAACTTTTTTTAATAATAAAAAACATGTTCTTAGCTTTCCAAGAAACTAAAATTAAAAAAAAACAAAAAAAAAGAGTTTCGGGCGTTTCTAAGTACCAATACGATACTACCGATATGTGTATCGTATCAATACTTTGAACCTCGCTTGAAAGATGAGAGGAAGAGAGCGTCCCACTGGGTGTGCTAGAACATTGTCAACACAAATTTCGTGTATTGGATTAACACAAAATATGGAGACCAATTACAAAAATAAATTTGTAATAAAGGAAAATACAAGGGATTTGAACTCTCTTTGATTTCTACTCGATGATGTGAGCAACCTCTGATTAATAGTCAAATTTGGTGAAGACGAGGGTCTTCGGTGTTTCTCATACTTCTTGAAGTGTTGATGTAGATTTCCTTGAATTTGGTGCTTCTGAAGAGTTGATCTAGATTTCTTCACTCCAGGCTTCGTGCTTGATCGACTGTAAAGGATGCTTCTCTAAGAAGGGCCCTTTTGTAGTGGCTTGATCTTCTTTGGAGAGTTTGAATCCAAGTGTGTTGTAGAGAAATTAGAAGCTTTTCCCTTTTTTCTTCTCTCTTGATCTTGAAGATGTTGGAGTTTGCAGGAGCTTGTGGTTGTTTGCAATCCTCAAGTGTTGGTGATTTAGAGCTTCTGGCAATGTGACTGTGAAAAAGAAAGGAGCTCTTTCTTCCTAGGCAAGGCTATTTATAGCCAAGGATTAGGGCTGCCACTTCAGCCTACTTAGTTAACGAATCCCATGTGAGTGGGGTGTTGGGCTAGTTAACTCCCATACATGCACCATTATGTAGGAGTTAGTGGTCTTGCCAATGCGACCACCCTATTACAATAGGACATGGGCCATATTAGACTTAATACACTTGGATCCTTGGGCCACTAAGTCATATTTATGTAGGCTAGGGCCTTAGGCCCATGGAGGCCCATATTAATTTAGAGGTTATCATGTAAATTAAGCCCATTTATTTGGATTTGAAATTCACATGTCTACACTCTATCAATGAGAACCATTTTATAGAGGTGGGTTGAGAGAGTCTTAATTGGTCTCGACATTCTTCATGAAAAGCATATCTGTTAGGGCTTCAACCAATTGCGTTCAACTTGTGGGGCCCACATGGAAAGGTGTTCTCCTTATCGTAGTGTTAAGGATTTACTTAGCCGTATTAGGATTCAACCAATTACCTTCTACATTCTTGAACAAGATTTAGTTAGCCTTATCTTTTTATCTAGATTTCTTTGTGGATAACATTGAGAGTTTAGGGACTCTTTTAATGGGTCCCACTTGAGTTCATTGAGTTTTATAGAGTTGGGCCAAGCCCTTTTAATTTAGACTTGAGTTTCTTGTAAGTTTGAGATTTCATCTTGGATTTTCAAATTTATGGCATTTAGGATGTTGACACAAAACAAAAGTTTTATGCGCCAAGAGACCAATGATTCTCTCTCTCTTTCTCTCTCCTAAACCTATCTTTTTTATTTCGTTACTTTTCAAGTCTTCCGTGTGAAATGGAGGAGGTTATATTTCACGATCAAGATGTAAAGCTCTTGCCCAAACATGAAAGATACCATAAGAACTTCTGCCATAGATCATCATTATATTCCAGACGGGCTGTTAGGATAAAGATGGCTGTCTTTGGGAAGAGTGCAAACCATAAATACGGTATTTCTAAACCTTACATTTGCACCGTACAAATTTGTATTTGTACGCCTCCCAAACTGAGTCTCCTTTACATCTTTCCTCTAATTACTGAGCTTATTGTAATTATAGTGGGTGCCCTTTATAAACCGATCGACAAGCATGTAGATCTCGCACATTCTGCCATTTCAACTACAAATATGGGCCGCCATTGTAATATGAAGAGAATCCCCACCAAGCACCACAACTGGAAGGCCACATAAACCTTAATCACGACTTCTAACGATGAAGAACGCCTGAACAGAAGAATACCTGGGTCGACGTCAAACGCGTGGCAACCAGTAGACTACTACTGATTTCAGACAAAAACATTTCCGAGCAGATTCTTTCTTACCAAATATTGGAACTTCTGGATCTCGGTAGCAACTCCTCCATTGGATTTACCGCTTTCGATTATCCATCCATGACGAGTTGAGAACTTGAGGCTGACAGTGGGTTGGATACCTCAAGCAATGAGTGTAGCAAATGCCGGAAGCATCCATACTTCTTCATTCTCCAACGGTTGATTGGATGTCAGACGGATTTCATTAAAACTTAAAACCTAGAACGTGGGGCATTAATGAAGAAATCTTCTCGTGGGAGATGGCTGTTGCATGAAGCTCGTGGGATGAAGATGGATGCGAAAAATGCGAAAATTCGTTAAGGGTCCCTTTGGACACAATTAATTCCGATCTGTTCAATAAATCAAAGTCAACTCTCGAATAATAATAATACACATCTTTCTCCATTTTTATATATATATATTTTTTTTATTTTCTAACATTTCATACATGATAAATCCAAAATCGTTTTCTTTGGTAATACATACTTCGATTTTATTAGACTAAGGTTGTGTTTAGTACACTGGTATTTCAATTCGGAACATTTAGGGTTTATCAATACAAATTTTTGATAAATTGCAGTTATATCACATCAGATAAAATTGGATTGTTGTTTGCATTTTGGCATCTTATGAAGGAGTGGCAGTGGTATATTTGTATTAATATATCCCGAAAGTTTAATATAAGCAGAAATGATACCAAACACAACATAAAAATCTAAAATCATTGAAACCACATGGAATAATTTCAGAATATAGTTTTGGAAATTAAGATCATTTAATATAGTAGTTGGGGATCGAATGGGGAGAGGAATCGCTGGGGCCTAGGTGGTAAAACTAACAATATCATCATCATCTACTTCATTCACCAAAGCTAGAGCTTGTTGAGCTATTTATTTATTTGTTTTTTAAGTACGTAAATATTTTTTTTTTCTTTCTTCTTAGTTGCTCCAATTATATATACAAAAATTTGGAAGGTCAAACTATTATCTATTTGTCATTTTAATAAAAGTGATGATAAGGCAATAAATGAAAATTAAATAATATTTTTTAATTATTACGGGAGTTGATGGCTTAGCCAATCTCTCAGCCATACACTCATACAGTGTGTGATCCAAATGCTACAAATAGGAGGGGGAGGAAATGAGAGCTCCTCACCTGTATCCATACACTACTGATCATCTTTGCTTCCTGCTCTTGATATTGTGGAGAGAAGTAGGAGAGACACCCGATCTCTAAATGGGTTTTGGCGGAATCCTTGGCTTTGACAATGGAATTGTGTTGGCACCCATGGGAGCCGATGTGGCCGGCCCAGCACTGGTCGCTGCTGTGGCTAATGCTGGAGGTATCGGCTTGTTGGCTAGCCCCGTCGTAAGTATCACTCTTTCTTTCTCATTCGTCTTTATGCGGGTATTCTGCTAGAATTCGATGACACACGAACAGTGCAAGCCATTTTCGACGAGAAGCTTGCATGCATGCAAGTCTACTGGGGTGACTTCACCAAGGAAATGGTCGATGAAGCTCACAACCACGGAGTCAAGATATTGCATCAAGTAACTTCCATTCACATGCGTGCACACCCTTTAACCCAATCTGACGATCGAACAAAGTTAATCTCTTGTTTCTTATTATATCAAATATTCCTTGTAGATCGGATCGTTGAAGGATGCAGAGAAAGCTATTGCCGCAGGGGTCGACTGTATCATTGTACAGGGAGTGGAAGAAGGAGGACATATCATTGGCACAGTAATGCTTCTCTCTCCCTCTTAACTGAAGAGCTTCTGGTTTATATTATATAAAATTGTTCAGTTGATTTGTCCAGTTGTAAATAACACCAAACTCTATAAATACTGGATCATCGCTTCCAAGAGTAGTAGATCTGGTGGGCGACAGGGACATTGCAGTGGTAGCAGCTGGGTCAATTGCTGATCCTCGCGGCTATGTTGCTGCCTTGTCATTGGGTGCTGATGGGATTTGCATGGTAATGAGGTATTTCTTTGTTACGTTAAAAACTTAAAATAAATCATACATATATGGACAACTTTTAGCTAGAATCCGTTTGGTTTACAGTCATTGGAATCAGAATCGAAATCCATCAAAATTGGAATCAAGATAGTCTGTTCCCACAATATGTTGGGTCAGACAGGAATCTGAATGGAAATTGAAATCAATTGGAATGAGATTGAAGGAAATGCCTATCCCTCAAATGAGAGAATTGCCACTCCACCAAGAATGGAAATGAGATTCCATATTCTACCCAACCAAATAATTAAAATCAGAATTCCAATTCAAGGGATTGGAGTGACCTTTAATTTTTTTGATTTGATTTGATCATCTTTTCTTCTAGCTAATGATCAGTGTACATTAATTCAATGTTATGACTATATATCCAGGTTTGTGGCTAATATGCAAACGATTACTACAAGCAACAGTTGCTCAACTACACAGAAGCCGACACAGACCGCACCGACCTGTAGAGCCGTGCCAGCTGGAGAGCCCCCATTAGGTGCCTCAACACTCCCTTCCAACAACAATGGAAAAATGCACCTGAGCCTGTCGAAAACAATGAGGAACATGGTCATGTACGCCGGACAGGGCGTTGGCCTCATCAAGGAGATCCTCCCGGCCGGCGACCTCATCAAGAATTTTATAGACGGAGCAAAGGAGATAATCAAGGGTTTAGGCGACAAATACGTGGCCACCAGCTAAGCCTGATGACTCTGCAACCTGTCTACGACCTTCATGAATAAAGGCCTTTACCACTTACCACTTGGAGAATAAAATTTACAAGATTAGATAGTAGAACTAGGTTGCTTGTATTATTATATGTATTGCATTCCTGTTTCCTTTGTCTATCGGACGTCTACGTACCTTCGCTTATCAGATTAAACCATAAGGTTCCATCATCTGTCTGTATTTGCATGAATTTGAACTAAATTGCATTTGCTTGCTTCGTGTCTATTTGTTAATTACGTTGTTAGAGCATAATGAATGGAATAGAACAAGTGATAATTACGATTCTTTCTTACTTAATTTGATAATTAATTTAGAATATATTTTAATGTAACGGCACATGATATGAGTTAACGTCATATAATATAATCAAATTTCCTGCGCTAAAATCAAGATAGGTATCCAGCTTTTATGATATATACACGTGAAAAATGAATTAGAGGTCTACATAACATTTTTTTTTAATTAATTTTCAATAAATGTGACAAGTTATGTGTGAGAGAGGAATTCCATACTTATTAATTATTTGCAAAATGACGGTTGATCAACTCATTGTATTTTGTATTATTTTATATGTATTTGTATCATATATATTTGGATTTGGGCTTTTTCTAAACTGAGCCTTTTAAATTTTTTTTTTTTTTTTTATAACAAACCTTGTCAACTCTTTATGGAAAAAAAAAGGAAATTGCAACAAAATAAGCAAGAAACATATATGAAAACCTGGAATTGCAAAACAATTGCAATTCTGGAATTGCAAGAAACAATATGAAAACAGGTCACTTGAAAAGTACAGGATAGGAGTTTATAATTTATAAAAAGAAAATATCTACATTGCACTCCACCTCAGAATTCTGAATTTCAAACTTACCACAATTCAAAATACACGATTTAATCGGCCTCAGTTCTAACCTCATAGTTTTGTGTCGACTATCATCATTAACGAGACACCCGACAGATTTAAACCTGAAGTACAAATCAAAATTGAGATCAATTTCTTATTGGATAATCTGTTGACGAGGAAGGATAATTGGACAATCTGGAACAACCACACGTCCTAAGCTCAGATGACATGGAGAACGATGAACGACAGCTTGGCTCAGATGACATGTACCTTAAGTGAGGAGCACAACCATACTCCACTAAGTATCTTGCTCTCTAGCTTTCCAAACTTTCGGTGTGTGTTTGGTATTGATGTCATTGCTCAATAAAACAGTGTCACATTAGCATTATATAAAAAAAGCGGTGTTTCAGGAAATGCCAATATATTTTTGAAACTGTTTTTCTATAAAAAAGACAGTTTCAAGCCATGCCTTAAAAATTGAGAAGGAATAGTTTGGAGTAACACTAAATGTGACCCTTTTTCAAATTGCATTTTGTTGCTACCAACGAGAACATAATGGGTATCAGTGCTGAAAATTGATATGGAGTAATACTGATACCAAATGGAAAGTGATGATATTGCTCCATGAAACGTTTTACTTGACAGCAACGCTTCTAAACAGGAAAAAAAAACACACCATTTTCTTAGAAAACAATACTTTCAACCCATACACCGTTTTCTGAGAAAACAAAAGGTCAGATGCCAAACATAGGGGCCTCTGATCTTTTGTGCTTGGATCGTTGAATCCAATTCAACTTGTCCAGCTTGTACGAATTCATCTACTGCTCATTCACTTCAATTGGACAGAATCAGCTTGTAAAATTAATGCCAAATATTAATTACTTATTTAATGGTCCCTACCTCCAAAATTAACCCAGGATAGCTAAAACCAACATTGGTTAATGGTCCTTAGTAGGAGGGAACCACCACATAGAAACTACAAAATCAATTGATATGGCCCACCTTCATTTAGATGAAATATGTAGTGGTGGGGTCATAGCAACAAATATATGGCCTTCATTTTTTTAGCCCCTTTTGGCGCATTTTTTTCACCTGGGCTATGGGTTGCTTCAAAATCCTGAGCATTTTGGTATTTTCTTGTTTAATTGGAAGAAAGTCTAACCGGTGAAAGATTGTATCTCGAAAAGATGCGAGAAATCCATTTTGGACTAAATTCGTGATGCTCCAATTGAAGTTTTCTGATTTTTCTAATATCGTCTTTACGTGAAAATACACACCTCCAAACAAACAGTTTATAGGCTACCAAGATCTTTATGTAAAAGTATTTTTTGACTGTCAAAGCTTCCATAAGATCTTTAAAAAGACTTACCAAACGGTACCTTAGTTTTAGCCTTAATTGCAAAAAAGTGAATTAAAAATGGGTTAATTATTGAAACCTCCCTAAGTTTATGATAATTGCTAAGTTTTACCCTAGCTACTTTATACTAATGGCACTAGCCTCAACTAAACTTTCTCACACTATGGCATTTAGACCCCCTCTCGGTCATGTGGACGTTAAAATGAAAACAGAAAGGGCTGATGTCATCCTCTAAACTTTTTAAATGCCCAAATTACCCTTAATTAAGCCCATTTTTATTCAAATAAATATTTCAAAGAATAAGGAGAGAAAAAGGCATGAAAGATTGTTGAAATTTAACGTTTAAAAAATTAGAGATGAACAAATGCTTAAAAATTAGAGATGATCAAATGCTCTGTTTTTTCACATATCGATATAGAAGGGGGGAGGGGGGAGAGAGAGAGAGAGCGGGCTTATTAGTTTTTAGGATTGATTGTTATGATTTTGGGATGAGATGTGATAGTTGACATATATCAATGATTTTAGAGTTTGGAAGCGAGAATAAATGCGGATGGTTTTTCTTTTTCTTTTTTTAAGGCTCTATTTGGTTCGTGCGAATAGGAGTTTTGGAATTGGAATTGGCTATTTCAATTCCAATTGTTTGGTTGAATGGAATCAGAATCCCATTTCCATTCCTATCGGAATGGCATTCCTCAATTTGAGGGAATGGCTTCCCTATCCCTACCTTGGGAATGAAATCCCATTCTTACTGATTTTAATTCCCACTCTCATTCCTGTCTGAATCAAATAGACTATGGAAATGAACCATTCCGATTCCAGAGGATTTCGATTCCAATTCCGACTGAAAACCCAATAGACCCTAATTACTTTTATTTTTCTCTCCCATTTTTCCTTTATAAAAGAGAGATTTACTCTTGCAATGTTCAATAAACACGAACATGCTACCTCAATGAAACATGAATATGACTTGTTCATACTTTCCTACTTTCCTATATGCATTTGGGTTGACAATTTTCAATAGAGGAATGATAGATGGTAGAGATACACGAATATGACCTCTTCATGTTTCCTCAAACATTGATAACGTGCGATAATGCGACCAAATGGTATTATGTGAATGGTACTATCTATTGCATACCTTTTAAACTAGAAAATGATAACTCACCTGTACTGATAATGATAGCTATAGAGAAAGCATCATAGTTTGGACCGAGGCCATTGAGGGCATGATGAATTATCTACGAATTTGTAAGAGGCTCACCAATTGCAACTAGCTTGTCACTAAATACCTTGAGTTTTTGCAGATAATCAATCATGGAGAGATCATTTTTCTGAGACCAACAACACTAGCTATTCCTCGAGAAGAATAAAGATTGTCAAGAGTTTCCTATAAATCTTTGCTTGTTTTGTTTCCCACGATTTACGGTAGTGCTGTTTCAGTCAGAGAGGATAAAAGCCAGTTGAAGATATAACGATCCTGCTTAACCCATTGTGTATAGGGTTCTGTCATCGAGCGAGATGGACAAGGGGTTGTCCTATCGACATGTCCAAGGAGCTCATGGCTCAAAAGGGTATTTTCAACCTAAAAATGCCATACAATATAATTGGAACCATCCAACTGAACTAAAATCAACTAAGGACTATGATTCCCCGATGCTCCAAAGTTTATTTGGTTGATCGAACTGGTAGACATGACAAAAAACTGAAAAGGACTACTTATGGCTCTGATACCATTTGAAAATAATGAAGAGAGAGAGAAACGATTGAGAATAATGGTCGAATTGTTCTATTCAACTTTCTTTACTGATATATATATATAGAGTACAGGATAGTAAGTTCTTATCTGATTAGGATAGATTAAAAGCAGTCCTAATTAGGACAAAGCTTATCTTACTAAGATAAGTCTATCCTTTACGAAAATAATCTAAAGGGATAAGGATTATCTACAAGAGGGAGAAATACAGTAGGAGAGGAATTTATATTACAAGATAAAATAGAAGTGAGAAGGATGAGTTCCACGTGCATGCACCATGCACCGGAATACGTGCATGGCGTTATCGCTGACAGTGTTTAACCAGAAAACGATTAAATAGCATGAATCTAGACTATCGAGTGAGTTCTAAAAGTCCGAAATTTAATTTGTTGAACTGTTGCATTTAACAGATAGGAAAGAATGCTATATTGGTAATGGCATGAATTGTTGCAGAGATAGAATCAATCGGATAGTTAGAATTGAAAAATAAATTCCACTCCAAACAGATCGAAGAGGCTAATTAGTATCAAAGAAGCTTTGAATCAACACACGAGCAGATGCGAGAATATGCAACAAGAGCGTTAATTAAGGAGGTTGTATGTGGTCATGTCGGCTTGGTTTGTTCACCGAAACCCAAACCCACCCTAAACAAAAACAAAATTAGAGTATAGTATTTGCTCTCTTGCCTTGGTGAATGGTTAGAGTTTTTGTTGAATTCAGATTTTAAAGAGGTTTATGGGTTTTGTATACAGGGAGAAGCGATGGTGACTGCTGCATTCAAATAGAGAGCCCCATCACAGCTTTGATGGCCTTTTCGTCCAGCTAAAAGCAACCCCTCTCTGATTCGGTTCCTAAGTGGGGAAGGACATCCAACAGAGGGTAATTAATTACCTGGAACTTCAAGGGGGGTAGGGGGTTCAGCAATTTACCCTTGAAAAAACGAGTAAAGGGGCATTTTTTTGGATTTGGAGAGGGGGAAAGTTAGTCAACAGGATTTTGGTTTTCATTGACCAAGAATTTTATGTTCTTTTTTCAGCTTTATGTAGGGATTAGGGACCAAACCCATCTCCCACGTGGGTAAATAAATTTTCTATGTAGGAGAAAAGTTGTCAATACTTGAATTGGACAAAAATGCTCTTTTTAATAATGGATTTTTATGGTTAAAATAGTCATTGTCTTATTTACCTGGAAAATAAAATAACATATTTAAAGGCACTTACCTATGTAAATGGTTTCAGGAAAAACTTACTCGGATAATTACATTTACCTAAATAAATAACTTACCGAAAAGCGAACGAACAGCCCATGGTTATCATCATTGGAAGCATTTTTCTTTCTGACCTTAGGCTAGTTAAGAGTGAAAAATAAGTATACTCTCTTAACTTTTATGAGCTTAAAAAATGTAGGTTAATTTATGTACTAATCACTTATGCACACTATTATATATTTGAGTTGGAAAACTTAACATAGAACAACACAGACATTAATAAGTAACACAACTTACAAAGCTTCAGTCCATATTATATTGGCTATACTAATTAAAGGTAAAGCTTAAGGTTCAGAGAAAACAAACCATGAAACAGTTAGACAAGCAGCTAGCTAAAGCAGTAGTAGGTGAAGCTTGAGAGGTCAAGATCGATGATCCATCAAAAGCTAGATCTTCTTCAACTCTTCGGCTGATTGTCGAGGATAGATTGAGTAGTAGGTCTGGACGATGCTGAGGATGGTAATAAATATTGCACCCAATAATCCAATGAAAGCCCAAGGATTACTGAAATATGTGCGGCGAACTTCAGCAACCCAGACCCTCCACTTGTATTGGGTATACCTTCTAAGTTCCCCGGTAACATGTGAAAATTCATTATGATCCACCAGGTCCTTGGCCAAATGATTGATCAGTTCAGCTGCATCATGATCACTACCAAGGAAATTCAAGAGTACACCGCTTGATCTCAGCTCTTTCACATCATCAGCTTGATCAATGAGTGAGTCTAAGAAACAGATATAAGAAGCTACTTTTGAATCACCCAGAGGAAAAGATCTTTCATAGGCTAACAAGTTGAGAAACAAAGGCTTGGTTGAGTGGTCGATGATAATTGGAGGGAGTGTCAACTCTCCATAGAAGGGTCCCTTTTGGAAACGGACACTATCCAAGTTGAATGATGTGCTCTTCTTGAACTTTATCCCTGCTACCTGTTTAAGCTCGGCCGCTGAACGGATTGAATGCCACAGAATTGACTCCCCTGTGCTTCGAGATTGAAAATGTTTCTTCCAGAAACGTTGAATCAAGTAATGAAAATCAAATGATTTATATCTGTTACCTTGATCCTGGCTTTTGGTGCTGACGAGTTTGTTCCGGAATAGGTCAAGCAGATGAACAGATTGTTTTTCTTCATTTTGTTGCTGTTGACGGTCATTAGAGTCGAAACAGACGAGTCTCAAAACGAACTTGTCAAAAATTCTTTCCTTTTTATCTTCGGGGAATGCTTCAGTCGTCAATGCATCGAGGACAGAAAAAGGAATTTGGTTCTCCAAAAGAAACAAGTCAGTCCCTATGGAAAATACATCTTCATTCTTCAACTCCCATTTCTTGAGCTCATTATGGATCAGACAGTGGATGAAATAGACCACAAAACATCCATCCAAGAACATGACGCGTTTGAACAGTTCGTCGTTGTTTCTGTAGAACTCCTTTGGCAAATTCCCGGCGTAGATTTTCTTTGCTTCTTCTGCTATGCTTACGACCTTCTTGTATAACTCTTCTATCTCTGAATTTGTAACAAGCTCTGGTGTTGTTGTCTCCTGCGTCTTACTCGTTTCATTTGCAATTTTACTCTCTGAAACTAACATACGTGCTATTACTTTCTTCATCTTCTCCATTTCCTCGAATTTAGGATTTCCATAGTGATAAGGACCGATGGAAACCACCTGGGGATCATAGTATTTCTTGTTATCTTCGATGTCTCGCAATGTACTCGGAACCTTCTGTATTCGACACTGTGTAATAGATTTAGTATTCTCTACTTTGGAGTTCACTATGGATCCAAACCAGTCATTTAGGTTTTCAACAATGGGTATGATCACTGCGTTTGGACAATCACCTATCTGATCATTCATTGAGATCTAAGAACGGAAATCAGGTGTAATAGATTATATTGTTCTGAGGTCACACTCTTATCAGGTTGCTCTGATGTAGAAACTTCGCTGGTTGTCCCTGCACTAATCCAAAATAAACAATGCATTAAAACCAGCAACTATGCTTGCGAGCCAGCAGAATTAAGACCAGAATTAAAGAAACAAAGGTAGTTTATCAAAAGTAAGGCCGTCTTTGGATTGCAGGGCAAAAACCAGAATTAAAGAAATCGAATCATATCCATTGTATTAGATCGGCTGGACTCATCCAATTCCGATGTACATTGAGTGACAATAAATTAAAACAAAATTGTTTAAAATATATAGCATATATTATTAATAAACTGAAGTAATGATGAATTTGATATTAGACTGAAAAGGATTAGCCTGTGTTCTTATTTCGTAGACAGAAGGATTGAGGCGCAACTTCAATTTTAGCATATATCATATGTGGAAGGACATATATGATTATCATAGTTTTAAGAAACGAACAAAAAAAAAAGAAAAAGAAAAACAAATCCTCTACACGTAAAATTGTTGGTAAAAAATACCACTCTTTCTGAAATATGGTCCCTCTTTATACTAGGGCATAAAATTTAATTTGAATATATACTATTATTCAGTTTCTTCAACTCCCATTCTCCCTCATTGAATCATATAATAAAGGCATTTTTCATTATCATCATTAAATTTTACTAATTAATTAAATCCATAGATAATAATTTGAACAGTATAAAAGCTTATATTTTTAAAATCGAGGTTGAACCATTTTGAGTCAAGCAGGCCAACTCATGATGTCATAATTAAACAATAAAAATTTAAGAATAGGAAAGAGGTACCTTTTTAGTTTACATATTCGTCATATTAAACAAAATAAATATGATAAATAAGAAATAATTTTAAATGATGGAAATGGAATATAAAATTTAAAACCAACAAAAAATGAAAACATATTCCTGTTCTTTCTCATTAAGTCCCATATCTAAGGTATCAATTCCCATTCTCTCATTAAATTTTGTATTTAAGGTATATATTTTTCTCATCATTAAATTCTACAAATTGAATCCATAACATCATTTTTAATGGTACATTTGTTTTTATCATTAAATCAATATTTTGAAAAATAACATAAAAAAAAAATTATTTTATTCCCCCCTTGTGGTGGGTAATAAATTTAACCATACGTGTCAAATAGGTTAATAAATGATGTCATAATTAAATAATAAAATTTTAAAAATATCTAAAATATAAAAATACAGAAAATAAAAAAAAAGAGTTAGGTGTATCTCTAATATTATATACTCATCATGATAAATGAAAATAAATATGATATGTAACAAATATTTTTATTAATGATAGAAATGGGATACAAAATCTAAAATCAATGACCTACAAATGAAGTGATTCCATATTCAAATAATAAAATTTTCCAAAATACAAAATGCAAAGAACTTCAAAAGTACAAAAATATTATAGAAAAGTTTGGCTACATATTTGATGTTATGTATTTATAGAATATAGGATATTGGGTATGTTTCTAATATTAATATTTTCATCTTTGGGTAGTGGGTTATTTGTTCATGTCAAATTGATCAACCCATGATGTTATATTTGAATAATCAAATTTTTTAAGATAAAATAGTACAAAAAATTATAAAAGTAAAAAAATATAAAAAAAAAGAAATTGGACATGTAACTAATATTATATATTCATGAAGTGTAATAAGCAATAATTGAGCATGAATTTAATATTATATTCATCATATTAAACAAAAATATGTGTGAAAACTGAGATATATTGTTATTAACAGATGAAAATGGCTAAAAATATAAACAAAGAAAAAAGAATTATTGTCTTACTAATGTCTTAGAACACTCTAATATTATATATTCATCAAACTAGCATAATGAATAAAAATTATATTTATTAGTGATGGAAAAGAAAAAAATTTAAAATTGATTTAATTATGAAGAAAAACTGTTTTCTTGTTCAAGATGTGGGTTAGTGGTTCAACCATCTAGGTCAAACTGATTAGTTAATCCATGATAATAATATTTTTAAAATACAATATTTTGAAATGGTTCAATCATAATAGTATTTTTAAAATAAATAAAAATAAAAATAAATTATAAAATTGTTGGCATGTTTCTAATATCATATATTCATCATGATAACCAAAACTTATTTTTATTAATGATGAAAATTAAATAGAAACAAAACAAATCAAACAGGCTAACGCAAAATTTTATAATTAAATAATAAAAATTTATTTATAAATATAAAATTTATAAAATAATTCTAAAAAATTTGGGCACATCTCTATTCTCTCGTATTATATATATATATATAGAATGTGTGATAAAACTAAAAATAATATATTCAACATATTAAAAATGATATATATATATAGAGAGAGACAGATTTATAATTGTACACTTATTCATGCATGTCATGCCATGGCATAGTTCTGTTTGGCTAAAGCCTCAAAACCCAAACCCTTACCCGAACATCACTGTTTGACTGTATCAATTCTCAACTACTGAGTGATAGGAGGTCAGCATGTTTATCCCTTTAAAAGAATGACTCATTTATTTTTGTACCAGATCTTGGTTTACCAATGTTTGAGTCGTTTGACAGAATTAATATGGTAAAATTGGCCCTTTTTCAGGGATCACTATTTTTTGTGATTTTCTGATTTCCATCTGATTTCGATTTTTTGAGGCATCCTGGTGATTCCTGATTTCCTGATTTCCATATAGATTTAAAGCCGATTTCTCAAATATATAGCATAAATAAATGGGTCGTGGGAACGTCCTGTCATCCATATATGAAGACCATCTGATTTTGTAGTTTTGATGTTTTCATATATATATATATTGATACAATGTGTTGAGCTTCTACGGACTGGACCGTGCATCCAATGAATCTGGAGTGAAGATTTCAGTATAAATTCTTCTGAACATAGACCTATAAAACTTCGATTTAATCACAACGTATTCAATCTCAATGAATGACACTGCTATCTAAAGTAGTAATTAGTAGCTGTAAAGCACAAAATATATAGTTTTCGTATTCTCTTCTTTTCCTTTTCTTCGGCCAACAGCTTGAAGTGTGTGTTAAATCATCGTTTATTTTATTATGTTAATTCCTACATATAGATATTTATAAAAGTAGATTTTGATGTTTTTTCCAATTAAGGTGAAATGTTTATTTACTCAACCACTGATATGGCATCTAATTGTTAATAAACAGTTTATCAAATATTTTACTCGATTTTGAGAACAAATCAATTACAAACATTTATTTAATAAAGAGAAGTTATAACAAACAGGTACAAAGTTATATATACTATTGCATTAAAGATCACAAAACCCGTTTTGCTTCCATATAAACGAAGAGGAAAATTTAATTTCGCAGCAGTTATGAAGGTAGCAGAAACAACCAGAATCGAATCAATTCTCATCCATTACAGCCATGCACATGGAAGAATCCTATTCCTGACTCAAAGAGTACATCAAATTGCCCCACCTCTGGATTGATCCCTTTCCCAGAACAACCTCTTGTATTGAATTACCATTCTTCTAACCACCAAGAAATGTTCAATAAACAACCCAATTAACTAGCAAACGATCATCACACAGAAACATGATATGTGATGAGGTTCGTAGAGAGAAAACTACTACAGGACGGACCCAGAAATTTCGATGGCAGAGAATTCCGAAAGAGTCTCCACTAATAATTTATCTTTGAAAATGGGGCAAATTTTATATCTAAAATCCTGATCATCATGAATCCAGAGGTTAATTAACTCCTTTTGGTTTAAGACTGACTATGTAGGGGGCTGAAAATATGATCAATCCAGAGTGTAGTTGCACAGAGATAAGGTAATTAACTTGCACAGAGAACAAAATTACTGGATCAAATTAATAAAGATAATGAGAAAATTATGACAAGAGAGGAAGGAAAAAATCCTTCTAAATTTCTAATAATGGAAATCATGATAATAATATAAAAAACTGAAAGTAGGATAAAAGAGAATTGAAATCAACTCACAAATTATGTAGTTGTCCTTTGTCGCAAGTGTAACGCCAATTTCTCTCACTCAGTATATGTGTGTTTTTGTATGCAAAATCTGTTCAATTGCTCAAGGGTTTTATAGACTACATCATGCACAGTGGACAAGCGTAAAGTAAGACAAAGTTGAGGTGAATAAAAACAATGAGATCGTGATACACATTGAATGGTTAGCACTCTGAGCGAGTGTTAGTTTCTTAATTTGTATCTTTGCAAAAACTGATAGAGGGTTTGGGGTGGAAAATTCAATGAACACTTGATAAATATTCTCACAAACTGTATTATTAAAAGTTGTTTTTAACCTTTTTGGTGGGGTATTTTAAAAGACAGGTGTTAAAAAAATTTTGTAATTGCTTATCCAATGTGTTCACCATCTTGAAAAAAAGGAACCCATTGAATGGTTCTCTCTTTGGAGACCGGTTTCCGTCCTCACAAAAGGGTTTTCACATCTTGCTCATTAGTCACAACCTTTTGCATTGCAGTTGTGCATTGGGAACATTTTCGTATTTATGTGTTTTTCAAGGCTTTTAAACCAATTCGGATAACGAATTGATCAGGGGTCTAGTTCCCAGGTCGAACGGTTCGATCATTCGAATCGAACAGTTGGCCCGTTTTAACAAAAAATTAAAAAAATAAAAACGGTCAAAACCACTAAACGATTTAAACAGTTCAACCGCTTGGATCAGTGGTTTATTGACCAAATCAACATTTTTTAATAAAAATCCAGTTTTGAGAAAAAACGGAACCAATCACTTAATCGATTTCCGGTTTTTCTGGTCTGATTTTAAAAACCATAATACTTTTATTGATAAAAAGATATTCCCAATAGACATCTGCAAGTGGCTGTTTTATGAGGACTGAAGAGCACGTTTTGTTTGTATTTAAAAAGTTGGATGAAATTGGAATGGATATCAAAAATGATGAAGAACATGAAACACGTTGGAGGGTTGTAGGTGGTGTAAAGTAGTTATCTAGAATTTGGAGTGAAAGTAGTTAGGAAAGTGCTAACGATACACTTAATTAAAGACACCAAGGCCAGCTGTTAACTTATATAGTGAATAGTAAAGTGTAGAATGCTTTCCTTTTTTGTTGGGATTCATATAAAGAGTAAAGAGTGGGGTGGTTGGGTTGAATGATTGCATCTTCTTTATCAGTTCCATCAATTCATTTTAAAAGCATAATACCTGCAAACTTCCAAAACTAACTTCATGTTCAATTTTAAAGTCAAAACTGCCATCTCTAACCTTCTTATTCATTTTATGATTACATGTAGGACAAAAGATATATTTTTGTTAAGTGTTTTTCTCTTAAAAAGAAACTTATACTTCATAAAATAACGCATCTTTTGATGAACTTGACCATTATTTTATATAAGATACTTCATAAAATAAGTTTAGAGTATATAAGAAAAACAAAAGGGTATTGTCAGCACCCAAAAAGTGAACACTACAAACCCCCAACCACTTTGCATATGTAGTCGGGCCCTAGATACCCTCAAATCCCTAACTATCTAATTTTACCTCAATACTCCTTTGGTTGTCCATCCATTAGGATTGTTTTTTTGACTCTTTTCATTGATCAAGAGCTATGATCCATGAAACCTTTAATTTGAATCTTTTTCATAAGACCCCACTAACGAGGTTAGAACTCTTGAAAACCCCATTTTATCAAATTTTACCTAAAACCCCCTTCTAATCTTCAAATTAGACAAGATTCTATTTAGTAAGTTGTATCCAAATCTACCAACTATTAGATGAGAATATTCCCTACCCTGAGAACTCTTGAAATATCTAATATACCCCTCACTTCCTCTCTTATCCACGATACCCCTTATTCTCATTCTCCCTTGCACATTTCTACTCCCTAAGAACCCCAAAATACCGAAAATAGCTCTCACCTCTCCTTTTACCCATAATACCCTGGATTCACCTCTTTTGGACATTTTTCCCCTACGAATTTATAAAGTACTCACCCTACTTGAACCCTAAGAGTAGGGGAGAGAGGGGGGTTTCTTGTGGTTGGATTGGTTTCATTGATGATGGGACGTTAGAATCGAATGGAATAGTATCTAACTGGAATATTTCTGTTGTCGCCAAGGATGGACCAAGGGCAACAATGTAATTATGCTTTCTTTAGTCGAGGGTTGGTAGGTTCGAGGGCTGATGTGTCCGAAGGCTGTAAGGTCTGACCTGAGGATCAAAGAGCACATTAGAGGCCTTGGGTGTTATCCCAGGAGCAAAGACTCTGACGGCCAAGTTAGTTAGGTGCATAACAAGGGGTCGGACAAGGCCCGAGTAGAGATAGCTCAAACAAGGTCACCAGAGAGCTAAGGAGAGCTTAGAGTAGTAAATGGCAAGATGATTACCTCATGGTGACGAACATATTTATACTTGAGCTCGCCTGAAGTTGGTTAGCAACGGATGGCTAGGATTGTATCTGGCCAATGCCACATGGTGCCATCTTAGATCCTGCAACATGCGCCTACATCATTTGCCCCCCACTCTCAAGGTTGTGCAGAAGGGTCGAATGGAGAGACACTGGATGGCATGTTTGGCGAGGACCTCGGCTTCAACAGAGAGAGCATAATCTCAAAAGCGTGGAGGCGTTGGCCTTGGCTGTTGAGGGCTTCCCTTAGTCGTCTAGCAACAACTGCTTTGGAGTCATCTACGCCTCTTGGGAGTGTGATGGAGGGCCAAGGGCTCGATACCATGTTTTGCATGGGTACGAGGTGATTGTGCCCCCAAACCATGTGCTTTTTAGGTGTCAGATAGTGATGACCATACACGGGACGGGTCTTGGTGTCAGTTGGTGGTGACCGTACGCAAGATGGGTCTCGGCATCGATTGGTGGTGACCATATGCGAGATGGGCGTTGGGTTGTGACTGTACGTCCAACAGGTTTCGGCGTTGACCGGTCATGACCATACGCGAGACGGGCGTCAGATCGGTCGGGTTGAGTTGCTTCTGGTCTAGAGCCGGTAGGCGAACCGGGTGAATCTCTCGACATCATTTCGTCTTTCCAAGGTGAACAACACATGTCGAATGTCATTTTGGACTATCCAGTTAGCTGCTCTGTGGCCATTGGATCAAAGACGATCTGAGCCATCAATTTTCCTTTAAATAGGGTGTTGATTAAGGCAGTTGCCACTATTTTTGCTTCTTCCATTAGAGTTTTCAGAGACCTCGACCATCATCTTAGCTAATCCCTTAACCTTTAGAGACCTCATCCGTTAGGTAAAAGGTTGCATCCTTAGCTATGCCTTATTCCAATTCCGATCTAGAATGCTTTGATCTCCTTGAAGAGTCGAGCACCCTGTCACCTCGTCCTACTATTTCCATTGAGACCTCTAGTAGTGAATCTGAGGGGTCGCCTCAGAGGCCCAAGATCCAAGTACTAAGGGAGAGAATTGCTCCTGGAGGTGCCGATTGCGACTAACAGGGCGATGAATCTCCCCATGAAAGTGCTGGCTCTATGGGGCCAATGGGTTGCACAACTGCTAATGCCTTGGGGCCGGGTCTCCCAAGGTGGTGGAGGGTGGTGAGGTTGAAGAGTCGATCCCAGAGCATGTGAAGGCTCTTGCTAAGTTGTACCATATCCTGAGGGGATATCGGCTTAGAATCCCCAATACCAGTGATCGGCCTTGGCGACCAAAGGAGGGGGAGGTGTGCGTCCACAAGCACTACCTCCAGTTCGGCCTTAGGTTCCCCATGCATCCCCTCATCCTCGAGCTGTTGAGGTGCTACAACATCTCTCTTAGCCAGCTTGCTTCTAACGTCGTGAGGACAATCATTGCTATACTGGTGATGGATAAACTCCGAGGTGTTCACATAACCAAGAAGATTTTTTGGTGCATGTTCGTTCCAAGGAGGCATCCTTCTAGGGAGGGTCTGTACTACTTCCAAGACCGTCATGGAGGGGTGGTCGACAACCTGTCATATGTCCACAATTGGAAGAATAAGTATATCTTCATATCATGTCCAAAGGGTTGATCATTCCGGTCAGAATGGGAGGAACCGAACCTGGTAGTCGAGAGGATCTCGCCCTACATATCGGACAAGGAGGCCAAGGTGATCACCTGTATTCAGGTGTCGGGGACGATCCGGGCCAAGCCCCTAGTGTCGGAGGAAGCTTTAGTGTGGATTGGTCTCAGCCCCACCCGCCTTGGTAGGGGAACTCCTATTGTTGGCTTCACTTTCTTTATATCTCGTACTTTCTCATTGTGCTTTTGCAGAGATGTAAGGAAACACCAAGGAGATCAATGCTGCTATAGACAACAACATCGTTGAAGAAGAATCCTAGCAAAGGGGCGTCAAAGAAGCAACCGCCGAATGGGACGCTAGGTGAGAAGGAGCCTCGGCTAAAGCCTCCAGCTAGGGTCGGGGCCAGAAAGGGGAAAGAGCCCATGGGGGTAAAATGGTGCAATGAGCCCGCCACGAAGAGGCCTGTTGAAGCCCTCCAACCTCCGGGTGGTAAAAGGCTAGCGACGAAGGATCACCCTGCCGAGGGTGGCAAAGGAGGCCTGCACACACCGAAGGGGCACCTGGCCAAGGGTGCTGCTGGGGTCCATCCACTCGGGACCTCGCACATCGTCCGAGGTGCGCAACAACATTCCACTGATGACACGGCGACACTTCCACTCCCAATGGAACATCAAAGAGGGGGATTCCTTAAGCACACCAGGGGTCGGTCGGGCCCTGCTCATCGGGACGCTGCCGCCCTCAGACTGGCACTACTAGACTCAAGTCGACGTGTAGGGTGTTCGGGACACTTTGTTGGACCGCCTGGCCGATGTAAGTGTCTTCCTTTAGTACTCAAGTGTTTTTCTCTTAAAAAGCAACTTATACTTCTAATATTAGTTCTTGAAGCCTGATAATAACGCATCTTTTGATGAACTTAATCATTATTTTATATAAGATACTTCATAAAATAAGATTAGACCATACAATTCTTATCTTCAATAATTGTCTAATTTCTAAATAGTAAATAAAAGATTATTGAGAAAAAAATAAAAGGGTATTATATTGTTAGCACCAAAA